AAGGGATTTCACAACTCCATTGCACTAAAGAGGATCACGGAACCTGGAGCTGGCAGGCCAGTTCTGGTTTAAAATATTCAGCTAATGATGAGACTCAACAACAACAAAGAAAATTATCCAGTCAAAAAATGGGCAGAAGAGCTAAAAAGAAACTTCTCTGAAGAGGAAATGCAAATGGCCAACAGGCATATGAAAAAATGTTCAACATCACTTGTCATCAGGGAAATGCAAATCAAAACTACCATGAGATACCATCTTACACCAGTGAGAATGGCACATATTAAAAAAACTAGCAACAACAAATGTTGGCGAGGGTGTGGAGAAAAAGGAACTCTTCTGCACTGTTGGTGGGAGTGCAAACTGGTCCAACCACTGTGGAGAGCTGTGTGGAGATTTCTGGACCTACTAAACATAGAGCTTCCATATGATCCAGCAATTCCACTCCTAGGTATTTACCCAAAGGACACAGAAACATCAATTCCAAAGAGCACCTGCACCCCTATGTTTATAGCAGCACTGTTTACAATAGCTAAGCTTTGGAAACAACCCAAATGCCCAAAAATAGATGACTGGATCAAGAAGATGTGGTACATATACACCATGGAATATTACTCAGCATTCAAAAAAGATAAACACATGCAATTTGCAGCAACATGGATGGCGCTGGAAGGGATCATGCTCAGCGAAATAAGCCAGAAAGAAAAAGAAAAGTACCGGACTCATAGCAGGAATCTAGAAAACTTAAATAAGGGACCAGGAAAATGAATAACTATAAGAAAGTGAAAATCAAAATCAACAAAAAACTATGAACCAGAGACACTTTTAGGGGGGCGGGGGCGGTGGGGGATTGGGGTCAGATTGGGGGGGGGCTGCAATTGTATGGGGAATATAAAAATAAAATTTATTATTTAAAAATAAAATAAAATAATGTAAAAAAAAATATTCAGCTAAGATCTGCCTTTATATTGTCACAAGGCTCCCTTAAGAGCTCACCTGCTCCCTGTGATGCAGGGGTTAAAGTCTCAGCACTATGAAGCTACCACCAGCCACTGCGGCGTGAGTTTGATCCATAGCCAGGGAGCTACCCACACGGCACAGCAGACCTCTCCTGTCTCGCCTGCTGCCCCCCTCAGCAGTGTATTTTAGTACATCTGCCTGTTCTGCTCCCCACTCTGTCTCTGGGGAATCCTCTCAGCCCCCACATCTCTGGCCTACACCCCAGTTCTTATATGCATAAATAATAACATTTTTTTTTTTTTAAAAGAGCTCATCTATAGTCACATCTATAGTCAAGGTAACAGAGACCTAGTCATGAGAGGATTCTGGAACCTGTGTCACAAGACCATGGGCACAGTAACTTTCCATCAGAATCACAAAACCCCCACCACAAAATGCTAATGCCAAGCATCAGATTGCTAATAGCATGTAGTATGTCTAGATATAAGAAACGGTCATGAGCATTTTTCTAATGGCATGACCTTGAGTGAATTAATTGAATTTTTTGGCCACCAGTGTACTTCTTAGTTGATAATGCCAACTTGCCATCACTTTCTAGCTATCACTTTCAAGGCCTTTCATGAAGGTTAAATTTGCCAGTTAAAAGTGCTTAGTACAGGGGGCCTCCCTGGTGGCGCAGTAGGTTGAGCGCAGCGCTGTGAAGCTGCCCACAGCCTCTGCAGCGTGGGTTTGATTCCCGGCCGGCCAGGGAGATACCCACATGTCACGACTCCCCTCAGCAGTGTCTTCAGTCCACCTGACTATTCTGCTCCCCGCTCTGTCTCTGGTGAATTCTCTCGCCCTCCGCGTCTCTGGCCTGTACCCCAGTTCTTGTATAAATAAGTAAATCTTAAAAAAAAATAAAAGTGCTTAGTACATTGCCTGGCACATACTGAGAGCCTGATAGACAACAGCTCTTTCTTTTATTACTAGGAATACAGGGTTGCCTCCACTGACAATTTCAGAGGCAGATAAATCCTTTCCTTGTCCAAAAATATTACATATACTACTGTGGCCTTTAGAGAGTCATCACTTTAAATTGCGAAATAATCTCTATGGCAATGTAGGAAAGCTAGTAGGAACCATGAGATAGCACAACAGTTGTCAAAGAGGATTATTTCTTCCTAATGGGTTTTTCAAGAGAAGAGTGAGGTAATCACAAGACTGCCTATAGGAGTAGTGAAATGGGGTGGGCGTCACAGTGGTGGGCTAAGAAGAAAAAGCTTGTTGGGGAATTTGTTGAGATTTCAGCGATCTCTCAATTTCAGTACTCACCAGGCAGATGAACTGGCCTCCTCCAGAAAACTCTAGTTTCTCAAAGCTCCACAATCTTTGGAGCAGTTGGCTATCAAAATCAAGGATTTTTCTGCCACCTACTGGTCATTTTTAAGAAGGACAACAGTCCTTTTTCTGAGGTAATACTGTTTTACAGTACAGTATGTGATTCAGAGGCATGGGGTCATGTCTTGTCAAGTGTGTATCACCAGCCACTCCCACCACGAAGGCACCCATAGTCCTCCTTCACTATTTAAGCAAAGATGATGGGGTCTCTGAAGGCTTTTTTCTGGGTCCACCTGCGGCCTTCACCATAAACCTCAATAGTCATGGAACTGGGGTTGTGGAATAAATGAGTGGGTTTTGGGGTTAATGTCAGTGGAGTATGGAGACACTGATGGGCACATGTCGGGTCAGTGATGAGTGGCTGGGGGCTCAGGCGTAGGCATCTGCAGAATCAGAATTGGATTTCCCCAGAGTTAGTAAGTCATGTCTAGAATTGCAGAGTCTGAAGTGTGATCAACTTACCCTACCTGGGGAATTTCTCCTGAGATGTTCACCTTTGGATGTCAACAGCTATCCTCCTTAGAAGTCAGGTAAATCAACTCAAGTACCCTTCGGTTGCCTACATTGTCTATAAGAAGAGGTTAGAATGTGACATGGGACTGAGTGTTACATCAGTGTTCTAGTCAGTTCAAGCTACCACAGAAAAATAGCATAGACCAGGGTTCTAAAAAACAGGCATATCTCACAGTTCTGCAGTCCACATCAAGACGGAGGTAGATTTGGTGTCTGGTGAAGGACTACCTTCTGATTTGCAGCCACTACTTTGTGGCTGTACACTCAGAGGGCAGAGAGTTCTCTGGTCTCTTCTCAAAGCCACTAATCCCACCATGAAGACCCACCCTCATGAAGCTCTAAATGTAATTCCCTTCCAAAGACTTTATGTCCAAATGCCACCCCACATCAATATGTGCATGGGGGCTAATTTAATCTAGAGAAGATAGGTAGAGCAATGCCTTCTACCCCAAGGACCTGCGAATGTTACCTTCCATAGCAAAATGGAGGAATTGGAATTGAGGAGATTATTTTGGATTATCTGGACAGACCCAATGTAATCATGCGGGTCTTGGAAAAAGTGGAAAACCCTTCTTAGTTCTCATTCAGAAAAGTAAATTTGACTACAGAAGAACGTTCTGAGAGATGCAATTTTGCCAGCTCTGGCACTGGAGGTAGGTGACTGATTCCAGAAAGTCGAAAAACCGAAGCAGCTAGGAAAAGGCATGGAAACAGATTCTTCCCTGGAACCTCCACAAAACACAACACATCTCGGGGCCTCCCTGGTGGCGCAGGGATTAAGGTCTCAGCACTATCAAGCTATCTCCAGCCACGGGGGCATGAGTTCGATCCCCTGCCAGGGAGCTAGCCCACACTGCGAGGCAGACCTCTCCTGTCTAGCTCGCTGCTCCCCTCAGCAGTGTATTTCAGTCATTCTGCCTCTTCTGCTCCCCACTTTGTCTCTGCTGAATCCTCTCAGCCCCCACACTTCTGGCCTGCACCCCAGTTTTTGTATGCATAAATAAATAAATCTTTTTAAAAAATCCCACTAGTACCTTGATTTTTCACCTGATGAAATTTTTCACACGCGTTGAATGTGTAACCTACAGAAATGTAAGAAAATAAATGTGTATTGGTTTAAGTCACTAAATCTGTGGTGAATTCTGACAGCAGCAACAGGTAACGGATACAGGGCAGGGATGGGGGTCGAGTCTTACACCAGCCCGCCAGTCCACACAGCCTGGTCTTCGGCCATGAGATCAGCTCGGCCTTGGGCTGGTCTGGACGAGGCCCCGGTCGCCTCACGTCGCCTTCGCAAACTCACTCCCTCGCGCCCCAAAGGTGCCCACGACTCGCGCCGCCTTTTCTCCAGGGGCGGCCGCGCCTTCGCGAGAGACTGAGCACAGTACTTCCTATTTCAGAACGGCCCGCCCCTCGCCTCGGCGACCCAGTCACTAGGGCCGAGCCGGCAGCGCACGGCACTCCTATTGGACAAAATGATTGTCCGTCAAGCAGTCCCTCCACCAGACTCTTTCACAGCTCTTCCGTCCCTCCCTTGAGGCCCCGCCTTTTTTGCTGGAAAAGGGAGGGTCGAAGCGTCCTCAATTCAGCCAGAGCACGTCTATTGGTCGGGCAGGGTTATCCATCAAGACGTCAACTGAAAGTAAAAAAAAAAACCCTACGCAAAAGGAGAAGTGCCAGAAGCCTTCCATTGGCTCTGAGAAGATGTCAGTCAAGACATGGGCGGATACTATGAAAATTCAACGCACGCTATTGGGAGAGCCGAGACCCCGGCGGGGCGGGGGCGTGCCCCTTTCCGTACTCGGGATTGGCTGAGCGGTGCCGCGCCCCCTTCCAGCCGGCTGCCGCCTGCGCTGGGAGTGGGCCCGGCTCGCCTGCTTGGGCCGGGCGAGCCCGGGCTGTGGAGAGGCGCGCGGGGGCTCTGACTGGGTTCCCCAGCCGAGCCCACGTCGCTCCCGGAGTGACGCGAGCCGTCTCAACGGTGAGGGAACGCCGGCGCGCGGCGGCAGGCGGGGCGGGCGCCGCCGGGCGAGAAGGGAGCGCCGCGAGCGGAAGCGTCTTCGGGGCGGCGTCGCACCCGGAAGTGTGGCGCGAGCGCGGCCGCACCCGGAAGGCGAGGCGCCCGCGCCGGCGGCGGGCAGGGGCGCGCGCTGGCCGGCGGGGAGGCGGCGTGAAACGGGGTTCGTGTGTCTCCGTGCCCGGAGGCTCCGAGGCGCCTCCCTTTTCGGGAAGTGTTGTCGGAGGGTGCAAGTGTTGGGTCACGCGTTTGGGCACCTCACCCTGTTGAAACCCCGCCGTGGACCCCGGGGGGCTCCCGAAAGGCTTTTGAGGAGTTTCTCTGGCCGCCGGTCACTCTCGATTTCCCCACCCCACAGGGATGTGCAGATGGAGGCCGGAGGAGACACTGCTGCCCCAGACCCCGGGGACGCGGAGGACTTGGACGACGCTCGGCTCCCCATGGGGGAGGCTGGAGATGGTGGAGGGGTTCACGAGGACCCGCCGGACCCCGAGAATGGGGGCCTGGAGGAAACAGGTACACCTTCCCCTCCCTAGGGTGCTGGGGGGGAGCCCTAACCCATGTCACTGTTGGGGGAGTGAATGGGGAGCCGGTGAGGAGTCTTTGGGGACCCAGGGAAGTAGCTGAACTCAAAGCAGGCTTAGTAGGAAGGAAGTCACTGTGGACTCACATGTTCGTTAAGTCACTGAGGAATGGAAATCAGTGCACGTCACTGGATGTTCACTAGGGACTTTTTTTTTTTTTAAGATTTACTTATTTATTTATAGAAGCACTGGGTACAGTCAGAAGCGCGGGAGGGTGAGAGGATTCACCAGAGCCAGAGCGGGGAGCAGAACAGGCAGACTGACGAAGTACACTGCTGAGGGGAGCAGCGGGCGCGGCAGGAGAGGTCTGCTGTGCCATGTGGGACCCTTGCCAGAGGCCGGGGATGGAACCGGCGCTGCAGAGGCTGCGGGCAGCTTCCCAGCCCAGCGCTCAACCGCTTTGCCACCAGGGGAGGCCCAACTAGGGACTTATTTAGAAGTCCCTAGTCTTGGAGGTAAATGGAGGTAAATGGTGGTCACTGGTGGGGATGGATGGAGTGGACATAGAGTAGAATCGATTGTAGGACAGGGGAGTGACTGTGGGTCACTGATGACTTGGCGTGAAACTAGGTCACTATGGAGTCAAACAGGATTATTTGGAGTCAAAATGGGGCACTGGATTTGGGGTGTTTGGGTTCGATGAACAAAACAAAATCAGGACAGAAGAGGGCTGTTTAGAAGTCAGTGTCTGAAGGCCGGGGTTAGTCATTGATGTGGGAAATTGGGGTGGGGGTTGGTAGTGAGCACTCAAAATACCTACATCATTGAGGAGCCAATGATGAGTTGTGGGGGGGAGTTTTAGGAAGCAGAATGGTGATCCTGGGCAGGGAGACAGTGAATAACGCTGAGATTATTTGGAAAATTGGAGGACAGTGACAGATGGATGTGCAGAGGTATTCAGTGGAGAATCAATAGGAGTCAGCGGGGAGTTGGTCCTCACTGAAAACTTTGGAACTAGTGGATGTTAAGGGGTCTGTGGGAAGAGTAGTGGACATCGCTGAGAATAAGGAGTAGGGAGGGTTTGTTTGAGAACTTGGGAATTGTTGGCTGTTAATAGGAGGAGGTAACTGGTAATTGGAGACATGTGGAAGTCTGGCTGTCAATGAGAGAATGAGGAAACAGGAGGTCATTGGGGTTTTATGGGAAAATCATTGAGACATAGTTGGCAACTGGTAATAACAGTTGTTCTTGGCAGGGAGGGGCATCAGTGAACACATCGGTGAACACTGCCTGGAGTAAATGTCCTTGGGATCCAGTGAAGTTATGGGTTTCATTGGTGAATGTAAAAGGTGGTCATGGGGAAGGCAGTGGAGACCAGTAAAGTCCTGTGCATTGGTGAATATTGTGGTGGTTACTCCAGGGGAGGGAGTGGATATTGGTGAGCACAGAGTAGTCAGTAGAGGGCTAGAGGGCACTGGAAGTCTTGGATGTTAATGGTGGTCACTGGTGGAGATGGAGTGGACATAGAGGTCAGGGGAGTCATGGAGGGTCACTGATGACCCAGGAAGTAGCAATGTTGTATGGGTCCCTGGGATGTCAGCAAATCACAGTGGGAATAAATGGGAGGTTAGGATGAGTCCTAAAGATCAGGGTGTTAAGTGAATATTCATGTCAGATATTGGGAGAATCAGTGGTCATCTTCATGGGTGACCCAGAGAGCCAGTGGGGTCATTAGGGATCAGTGGACATCAGTGAGAAGAAATTAGGGGCTAGGGTAGTAAGGGGGAGCATTCAAAGAACCAAATATTCATAGGTGTATTGGCGACCATCGAGGAGTCAGTAGATATCAAGAGAGTTAAAACCAGGTGAGAAGATACTAATAACATTTGGAGGCAGTGGGGTGCTTTGAAGACTTGGGAGTGGCAGTTATTGAGAGTAATAATTGGTTTATAGGGACATAGAGGAGTCAGTAATGACGAGAAATTGGAATTTGGGGGCTTCAGGGGGCCAATGAAGCCTGTGTTTTGGCAGGGTCACAGGGAGGGCTGGCAGGGATTTAGTAGGTCCTAGGGCACATGACCCACCAAAGCTCCCTTTCAGGATCTGAGACCAAGGATCCGCTACCGGACCTGCTGTCACCCCTGTCCCCGCCCGAGGCTCCATCATACACCTGTGGTCTCTGGGATCCTGCCACCCCTGAGAATAGTTCCGTGGGTGACCCAGAGAGCAGCTCTGGGGGCCAGGGTGGGGACCCCAGTGACGAGGACTGGCGCAGCAAGCGGAAGCACGTGTTTGTGCTGAGTGAGGCCGGCAAGCCCATCTACTCGAGGTACGGCAGCGTGGAGGCACTGTCGACGACCATGGGAGTGATGACAGCCCTCGTGTCCTTTGTGCAGAGTGCAGGCGATGCCATCCGCGCCATCTATGCCGGTGAGCACAGGGGCAGGACGCAGACCCGGGGATATGGCTGACTGGCTGGCCAGCTGTAGGTGTGTCTGTGTGTCTGTCTGCCTGAGGGCCTTGCCAGCCAGCCTGGGGTGAGTCAGTGCATGTGGGTGGCTCACCTGACAACTGGCGGGAGGCGGTCCATTTGGCTGTTCGGCCTGCTGGGTTCTAAATGATTAATTCACCAGGATCTAAGTGACCGGGTAGAAACTTCCATGTTGGCCGAGAACATGATTTTAATGGCTGTGTGGCTGAGTTGAGGGTCTTTCTAGCTCTGTGTCAGTCCTCATTCCCTCTTCCCCTACTCCATGCTGCGTTTGATCTGACTCTTTTACTGTCCTGTCCTGTCTCCATATACATCCAGAGCCCCCCACCTTGTCTTTACTCCAGTGTGCATAGTGACCCTGCCAGCTCAGATCAGGGGTGTGTGTGCTAGGAGAAGAGCCCCACCAGACCTTACCCCTGACTTCGTCCCGCCTTTTCCTCACCCAGAGGACCACAAGCTGGTGTTCCTGCAGCAGGGCCCACTGCTGCTGGTGGCCGTGTCCCGGACGCCTCAGTCAGCGGCCCAGCTGCGGGGGGAACTGCTGGCGGTGCACGCCCAGATCGTCAGCACATTGACTCGAGCGAGCGTGGCCCGCATCTTCGCACACAAGCAGAACTACGACCTCCGCCGCCTGCTGACAGGCTCTGAGCGCACTTTAGACCGCCTTCTGGACAGTGTGGAACGGGACCCAGGGGCCCTGCTCCTGGGTGCCGTGCGCTGCGTGCCCCTCGCTCGTACACTGCGTGATGCCCTCGGTGCACTGCTCCGACGTTGCACGGCACCCGGTCTGGCCCTGTCGGTGCTGGCAGTTGGCGGGCGACTGGTGACTGCTGCCCAGGAGCGGACTGTGCTGGCCGAGTGCCGGCTGGACCCAGCTGACCTGCAGTTGCTGCTGGACTGGGTGGGAGCACCGGCCTTCGCGGCGGGTGAGGCCTGGGCACCTGTGTGCCTGCCCCGCTTCAACCCAGATGGTTTCTTCTATGCCTATGTGGCCCGCCTGGACGCCATGCCTGTCTGCCTGCTGCTACTTGGCACTGACCCTGAGGCCTTTCATGACATGGCCACCTGCCGGCGCCTGGTAGAAGAGGGCATGCACTCCCTTGGTGCCCTGCGTGCCCTGGCCGAGGCGGCCAGTTTCTCTACTGCCCTGTCAACCAATGCCCCTGCCTACAGTGTGCAGGCCGTGGGGGCGCCTGGTCTCAGGCACTTCCTCTACAAGCCGCTGGATATCCCGGACCACCACCGCCAGCTGCCCCAGTTTACCAGGTGGGCTCTGACCCTGCGGGCAATTGGTGGGGCGGCAAGGCTTCTCTGACTGGCAGGTTCAGCATCTCCCAGACATGACTTGGGAGAGAGAACCAGCCACGCTCCAGAAAGGGCGAATAGAATGGGCCTCTGATGGTGGAGGGTCAAGCACCAACATGAAGGAATCCCCTATTCTCACAGGGAGGAGGCACCTAGGAGTCACGGACTCTGTAGTTGAGGGGGAAACTCGGTATCCAACCACTGAGACTCCCCAAGTCTCATGGGGGAGGCTCAGCTCTCTAGCTTAACTGAAATCTCCAGACTGAGGGGAGATGGGGCAGCCAAGAAAGCCTTAGACTGAGTTTGTCCCCTGCCTCCCTCCACGACTGCAGCCCTGAGCTGGAGGCCCCGTACAGCAGAGAGGAGGAGCGGCAGCGGCTGTCAGACCTGTACCACCGCCTGCACGCGCGCCTCCACAGCACCTCTCGGCCCCTGCGCCTCATTTACCACGTGGCTGAGAAGGAGACGCTGTTGGCCTGGGTGAGTTGGGTAGGGTCCTGAGCTCATGCCCCACTTCAAGCCTCCTTTCCCTCCACCGTGTTCTCTCCAGACATAACAGCCTCCACTCAGCATTCCAGGCTGTCACCTAGGCCCCGCTCTGTCTCCAGCACTGTTTCTGCTATTACACGCCAGTCTTTGAAACCGGCAAAGATCAAGCATGAGTTCTCCAATCCTTCATTGTTTGCTGTTCCCCCATTAGCAACCGGTACAGTGTCTTTGACGTTCAGGAGGCCCCACTGATGGCCCTCGCTGTGCCTGATTGCCTATGAGTCCCATGCATGGTCTGCTGGTACCAGTTCATGGACCCCAGATTCCTGGGGCACATGGGCCTTATCCCATGGCATGCCTTCTACCTGGCATTTCTTTCCATCTTCATGGCACCCATCCTCACTTCCTACAGGTTTACTACAGGTTAGGTTGAAGCCTTCAGGGAGTTTGGTGACAGTAACCCCACTGGAAACAGCACCTTCCCCCAGGAGATGCCTTTTAGTGCACATTTATTAAACCCTGTATTGCCTGCCTATAATACATCAGGCATTGTCCAAGGCCAGGGATTTGATTTGACTTTAAAATTTTGTTTAACTTCCATTTTCAAGCAACTTTAGATTTACAAAGAAGTTGGAAAACAGTACAAACAATCACTCTAAGTATGTCCTTCACCTGGTTTCTCCAGATACTTACATAAGCACAGGAACTTAAAAAACATCTCAGTACAAAACTGTCAGTACAATAACATCTAAACCACAGACTTTATTCCTATTTCATCATTGTCCCATCAATGCCCTTTGACTAATCCAGAACCAAGTCCAGGATCACATATTGGATCCATTGGTTGTCTTGCTTTATTCAAGAACATTCTTCAGTCCTTTTTTGTCTTAAATGACCATGGTACTTTTCAAGACCATGGTACCAGCCAGCTGGTTTGTAGAATGTCCCTCCACTTGGGTTTTTCTAATATTTTATGACTAAATTGAGGTCATACAGTGTTGGCAAGAATACCATGGAAGAGCTGTTGCACCCTCTGCCTCATAAAGAGGCCCACAGTGTCAGTGTGTGCCTTTGTTGATGACTTCAGTGCTCAAGAGCATGTTTGCCAGATTTCTTCACTGCAACGTTAGTATCTACATTTTCCCTCTTTCTAACTGTGTCTCTTGGTGATGATCAGTGTTTTCATCATCTCTTCACTCATTAATTTTCATATCCATTAAAGTTTCTTGCCTCCAACAGCTACTACTATGATGTTTATCAAACAGTGATTTTTCTAACTCCATCATTTCTTCTACTCTTACTGATTGTAATTCCTCTGTGTGGAAGAACTTTCTACTTGTTGACTTTTATAGCAGTATGGTCCCATGGATTTTCCTTTTCTCCAGTGAGCTAAAAATGCTTTCATGTCACATCTTTTGTTGACATTCCCCATTCCTGCTTGAGTATCCCCCATTCCAGGCTTCTCTTCTACTCTGCTCATCTTGAAATTAGCCATTTTCCCAAGGAGCCTTCAACCTTTTAGTAGAGAATGGCAGTTCAAAGCCAAGAAATGGCAGGCCCAGTTTGGGGGATGCTGCTCTGAGGCGATGGTGTCCACATGGGGAGAGGAGGCAGCCGTGTGGGTATCTGGAGGAAGAGCATGCCTAGCAGAGGTGGAGGACCATGCAGATGCTGGGAAGCAGGACGGAGCCTGCTTACCTTTAAGGAAGAGCAATGAGAGGCTAGAGTGGCTGGAGCAGAGGGAGCGAGGGGACAGCAGCGTGGGGCAGTGTGGAATGTGCTGGTCAACTGGTGAAGTTTGGTCTCGGGTTGCTCTGAGGACTAAATGAAATTAATCTTCATCTTCTGCTCAGGCCACAGGTGAGGAAAACAGGTGTGTGGAGGTTAGAACACAACGTTACTTGATGTTCAGTTAGTGATGAGCAAACTGAGGCCCAGCCAGCACACACACACCCCCCAACAGCCAAGGTCTCCCAGTTGAAGCCATTAAATGATCCAGGTGATCTCTTGATCCAGCTAAGAGCCTCTGGCCCACCTGGGACACAGTAATGTCAGCTTACCTGCTTTAACTCAGGTACCAGCACCAGGTGGCAGCTGCAGCCAGGTACATCTTCACACAGGAGACAGGATGGGGCTGGGTAGGGGTGGGCAGGATTGAGCAGGGCCAGCTCCAGCCCAACTGACTCTCTTTCCTCTCACATCCCCAGGTGACTTCCAAATTTGAGCTCTATACCTGCCTCAGCCCCTTGGTGACCAAGGCAGGTGCCATCTTGGTAGTGACCAAACTCCTGCGCTGGGTGAAGAAAGAGGAGGATCGGCTCTTCATTCGTTATCCCCCGAAGTACTCCACACCCCCAGCGGCCCCAGCTGCCCCTGCGGACCAAGTTCCCCATAATGGCTCATTCACCGGACTCTGAGAGGTGGAGCTCTCAGATTGGGCAGAGCTGGGAACAACCCTCTGGCTTTTACCTTCTGTCTCCACCCTGAATATGGGGTGGGGAGGCGAGGGTGGGGGATGGTGTCTCTGGCTGATCCCTGGCTTCCTAGGCAACAGGGTAAGACCTGAGGCCTGCCCACAAAGGAGGCGGGTTGCAGCATGGCTATGGGCTGCCTCCCTAGCTCTCTCATGTGCCCCCCCAAACCCCTTATTCACCTCCACCTCTGGTGAAACCCTTAGGCCTCTCTTCCCTTCGGCTGGCTCACCTCCACTTGGATGATAGTCCAGCCTCTCTCGGGCTCTGTCCTCTCCAACACTGGCCACAACACCCTCTGCCCTCCATCAGGGGGGTCTGCCTCCTCGACAGATTCTCAGCACCGAGTGTCCAGGTCTCTGGTGGCCCACAGAGGTTTTGGAGTTGGAAAAAACGGGCCATTCAGCCTGGAACGGGCCTGGGGATATTTTAAAGAAAACTGCATGTGAGGCCTAAAACCAGCCCCCACGAGAACATTTCTTTTGCCCATCATGTACTTCATCTGCACCCTGTCAAATAGGACCCTCATCCATTTGGCTGCTGCTAATATTCAGGAGAAGGTGGCCTCCTGCTTACGTCTACCTGGGTCTGACAGGACAAAGCCCCTGACTTCAGGCGGGGGTTGAGACTCACGGCTGTTACCTAGGAGTGCGCTCAGCTTCTGAAGCTCGTACTGCACTGCTTCTCCATGAAATGGATCCCACCAGCCTCGCCCGGGCTGTCCACTGAGGACGTGTGAACAAAAAGGAACTGGGACTCGTCGGTACCACTGCACGGGGATGCACCCGATCCCCGATTTCCCCAGCCCGCGCACCAGCAACCTAGACAGCTCAGCGTCCACGTGTGCCCCCCGCAGTCAGGCGGCCGCCCCCCCCAGACGCTGCTTCGGTCCTTGCGTCTCGGCCCCGCGAGCTGCGGGCGGCCGCTGTCCAGCGCGGCCTGGGCGTGGCCCCCGCGCCCCCCTGGCCGCACCCCGGCCGCCCCCACACTGCGCAACAGTTGAGCCAGAGGCGCAGTGCACGCATGCGCGCTGCGGCGCCTTTCTCCCGCAGCTTTTATTTTTTTTTTTCCCCCTAAACACGCATTGTCCAGGGCGCAGGCGCGCACAGGCAGGGAAGATGGAGCCTGCGAAGGAGGAGGACCTGCCCGAGCCCGCGGCCGGGGCGCAGGCGGCCGGCGGGAGCGCAGGCAAGTGGGCACCGCGGGGCGGGCGGGCGGGCGGCCGTGGGGTAGTGATAGGGCTGCTTAAAAAAAAAAAAAGGACAAAATGTAGACCTTGTTGGAAAGGATGCGGTTCCCCAAAATGGAGATGAGTGACACGCCTGGTCTGCCGTGCGGATTCGTGCGCGCCGGCCTCCCTGGAGCTGCTGCCCGGGCGCTGGGAAGCGAATCATAGGCTCAATATGTCATTCTGCAGCTCTCCAAGCCAAAAAGGCGTGTGTGTGGTGGGGGGGGGGGGGGGCTGTGGATAGTCACAGAGATGACGCCGCTGCTGGCACACGTCTAAGGAAATTAGCCGCAGCTCTTCTCAGGGCTCACGGCGCGCCCCGGCTTGCACGGAGCGCCCCACGGACGGCGGCTGCCCCTCCAGGGGGTTGTGTCGACGAGACACCTTCCCCCTCCCGTGTGTCCTGCCCCCGGCACCCCCACGCCGGGCGAGAAGGGAAACGGAGCTCATCCCGGGGGCTGTTGTCAGTTGCTGTCTTAGCCCGAGGAAGGAGTGACGCACTCCTGTGCCGGTGGCTTTTTTTTTTTTGTAAAATTAGAGGCGTTTTCAAAATGTGCTGAAGTTGGAACTGTCACCCTTCTGGCCTGCCCCCCCTCCCTCGCCCATCTCCCACCGCCTTCCTGCGCGCTTTTATCACCATTGTAGGTCTCCACATGTTGCGTTGCAGCCCCCCCAGACCTCTCTCTGCAGCCATCAGCCATCAGCGTGATTACTTACTTGTTGATTATCTGTCCTAGGATGTGAGCTCCATGAAGACAGACTGTTTACTACTGTTTCCCCAGCACCTAAAACAGTGCCTGCTTGGCAGGTCCTAGGTGCTCAGTCATTTTTGGTGTGTGCGTCATGACGTGACTGACACCCCGAGAGCTCGCTTAGAGGCGAGCCACGCATTAAGTGCCAGCTTTTAACAATGGACAGACAGAAATAATACAGAGGCAGAGCGATGCCGTGTAGTAAGTGCTTACTATAATAGCTGGCCCTGTGCCGAAAAAAGTGATTTTAGTATCAAGCTTTCAGATTTGTCAAAATTGAAGTGATGAATTAGCTGCACTTAACAATGGAGAAAATGGAAAAGCCTATCAAGGTTTCCAGCCCACCAAAATGGGCTTTTATAAAGGGAAAGAGTCCATCTAGTATGCATTACTTCTGTGGGGAAATAGGCCATCTCTTGCCTCCCAGGCAGAACTGACCAGTGAGGGTGTAGCTAAGAGGCAGCTTAGTAGGCTGCATTTAGGATATTTGTAGGACATTTTCAGTCCTACAGAACCGATCGTAGAATATACAGATGTGTGGAGTATTGTTGGTGGAGACAAAACACAAGGAACAATCAAGGAAATGGCTAAATATAGGTCTGTTCATGCGTGTTGTGGGATGCCGGTGGGGTGGACATTTTGTAAGGGTCAGAAAAAGCAATTAAAATGTATGTAGTGCTACAGAATTGTAAAATTGAAGGAAAATTTTTGAATGATATCAAGGATCGTGTATTAACAGTGGATGCACATTAACATCCGGGGCTTGATGGTCATACTGCAGTGACCTGGGGGAGTCTCCCTGTACATAGGAAATATACACTGGAATATTAATGAATACTGAGCCATCATGCCTGCAGTCATGGTACAGAAATACTCACAGGTGGGAAATCCGATACAAGGGCAAACAGGAGCACTGGGGCCTATTTCTACAACCTTTATGCACATCTGAAATTATTTCAAAATAAAAATCTTTAAAAAGGGGTCTCATGCTCTACAGACTGTCTTGTTTTATTATACGGAATTGTTTTAATGTGCAAGATGTTGGTTAGATTACTTAAAAGATTTACTGATTATAGCACATGATCTTAGCTCATGACTAGAACTGGAAACGCAGTGGAGAGAAACAAAATGGAGCTTTCAGACCTGTGCAGAGGCTGATTGTAACAGACCCGCAGAGACAATTGGGGAATTACACCGGTTCTGGATGTTGTTGGGTGATAATACTGTAGGACCGGGGTCATCTGAGAAAATGTGCTAGTGTATTTGAGACATTGAAGTATCTGGGGATGAAATATCTGGTGCTGGTTTGCAAATATCTCAGCACAGGAGAAACGTAGCTGAGGCAACCATGCGTGAGTGTGGATGACGTCAGGTCTGGTGATGAGGCAGAGCTCTTTCGAGTATCTTCTCTACTCCCCTGTGCATTGGAAACGTTCATTATGAAAGATTTCATAATGAAAAATTTCATAATAATGAACATTTTCATAAACATTTCATAAACATTTTATAATTTCCAATAGGAAAAGATAACGCTAAAAAGAAGTAATCAGACACCTCTCCATGACTAAAGTGACTAATTTTTTTTTCATTTCCACATATTAAGAATAATTCAAAAACTCAAGAGGAGCCACGCCAACCCACTAACACTGATTATTTCAGAGACGGACAAAGAGATTTAGGGTCAAGGGCAGAAGGGAAGTTTCATTTTTAACTTCACATATTTCCATAGTGTTTGATCTTTTAGAACATTATTTGGTTAGGAAAGTGAGAATTAAAGCAATACATAAAATACATTTTACTAAAAGATCTGAATGTCTTTACCAAACCATTAGCAGTGGTGACGTTGGGGTAGGGGAGTGGCTTGGGGATGGGGCTGGTGGTGAGGGGAGACTTACCTTCTTAATCATATTCTACATTTTGGTTTTTTTTACTAACTAATTTGAAAAATCCAAATGCAAAATTAATGAATAATCATTTCTAAAAGATTTCCATCAAAACAGTGAACATTCTACCAAACATTCCAGCCAAATTTAATAAGCTCAGGTTACAGCAGAATTTTTAATGACTGCAAAGAATTTCAGCCTGTGAGTGTGCTGCAGTCGACTAAGGCATTTTCAGGTTGCGTCCATCTTTTAAGATTTCATACACTGAAACACTGACTATCTGACCAGTCACCCTTAATCATTTCTGTAAGATTCCTAGAAGTGGAATTCTGATCCAGAGTTGAGCTTTTGATATGTAATACCAGAAAGCTTGAAATGAGAGAGTTTTGGCATATCAGATTGGGGAAAATGAAAAAAGGTTAAGAACATACTTGGCTGGAGACTACGAGGAAGGAGCCTGCTTGAGGCAGGTGGAGATCAGCTTCATCCTATCAGTCATATTTAATAAGATACCTTGTTTTTGATCTGGCAGGCTCAAATGTTTATGAAAAAAAAATCATAATGAACATGTTGAAATGCACACCAGAGTAGAGAAGATACTCGAAAGAGCTCTGCCTCATCACCAGACCTGACGTCACCCACACTCACTCATGGTTGCATCAGCTACATTTCTCCTGTGCTGAGATATTTGCAAACCAGCACCAGATATTTCATCCCCACATAAATCAACGTCTCAGATACACAAGCACATTTCTCAGAATGTATCCAGTAAATACACCCCCATGTGTGTGCCAAGAATCTACAGGGATGTTGTACTGAACTGAATTGTGATCCCCCACCCCAAAATTATGTCCTGTAGAACTAATTGGTTATGGGGTCTTTGCAAATGTAGCTAGTTAAAATGGGGTTTACTGGGTGAGGGTGGACCCTAATCCAATGACTGGTGACCTTATAAGAAGAAAATGTGGATGCCGAAATGCCAGATGATGACACGGGCAGACCTCAAAGGAAGACAGAGTTTGCATTTTTCTTTTTTACAGCAGCCTGAGAAAACTAAAATAGATAGTAGCTGTGTGATTTTGGGGAACAGCAAAAGAAGGGAAATGACCTAAATATCCATCAGTAGGGGACGCCTCTTAAATCCTGGTATACTTGTTCAGTGGATCACTGAAGAGAATAAAAATGTCACTAGTATACAGTGTCCAATGAGAAAAACAAGAACACCGTTTATGAGCATCCCAGTTATATAGCTAGAGAGACATATGGTTGGATGTGAACTGAATTACCTCCACATACTACCATGTAACTCATGTGGTCTCAGAAGAGGGGACTGGAGAAATATAGGGTCCCTTTATATGACTGTGGATTAGCATTTCTCAGTTTGTGTTTTGGCTATCCTATGTTTTGTGAACTGCCTTTTATCTCCAGTTTTCCTTGGTGAAGAGCAGGTCACTGGGATTTTTTTATTACTGATTTCAAGGTATTATTTTGCCGAGTTCTGCTGCTGCTGTTGTAACACAGGCTCACATTAAAAATATATAGATGTTTGTAGGGAGAAAAGTATATTTGATCAGGATTTAAGTAAGAGCCATTCATTACAGTTGGTTGATATGTCTCGAGTCTCTTTTAATCAATAGTTGTCCCTCTCCCTCTTTTTCTTCTTTGAATTTATTTATTGAAGAAACCAGACTCTCGTAGGGAGTTCCCCAGAATTTGGATGATGATGACATTCTCATGATAATTCTGGTGGTTTATTTGGATGTGAGTAGCCATTAATCACCACTTCCTAGATCTGTCAGTTCATTATGAATTTGCAAACTGGTTTATAATAATTTAAAAGAAATGCCTATGAAATCGCCCTGCTATATGGCAGTGGTGAGAATTCATACTGATCTTGAACAGCAGCAGCAGCAGCAGCAACAGCACCTGGGGTTTCATTAAGGGGACTCTGTGGTGTCCTTTGACCTCTTGGGGAGAAGCTGACTATTAGGGTTCCTGATTCATCGAGCATACACCAGGAACTGCAGAGACTTGGGCCAGGAATCCCGCAGGGGCCTTGTGCTGGCAAAAAGCTGCCCCTCAGTCTCCTGGTTTCCAGCCCAAGGGTATCTGCAGAACCCATGGAGGCTTTCTTCCTATCCCAGAGAGGCCTGGACTTTTCTTCAGTCCCCTCTCATTCTCACTGGATCCTGTAATTCTGATTTTCATCTCCACAGGGAAGAACAAGCCCTCAAAGAAGAATGAAGACTTGGTGACCATGGTGAAGAAGCTGCAGGAAGGTCGTGTATCTCCTTGTGTTTAGCACTCTGGGGTGCTGAGCCAAGCAGAGGTGGTTCAAACCCAGCCCCCTCCACTCACAACCTCGGGAAACTCCCCCACTGCACTTTTCCCTGACACAAGTTAAAACTAAAGAAGCATAAAGGGGTGCTTTATGATTTTAACAGATTTTTAAGGGGGGACTGTGGAGGGAGCAAGCAGTAAGGGAGAGGAGGGGGAACGGAGTCTCCTTAGGCTTCCACCTACTGTTTGAACTCACACACACCCCTCCTGTCCCTGCACACACCTGCTTCCATTCCCCTAGCCCACAGGCCAACAGCAACTGGTTTTTAATTTTTAGTTATTTTTCTAGATATTTTTAAAAAGTACATTCCTGGGGATGCATTTTTCTGTCCACCCTTTTATGTACAAGTGGCAAGACCAACAGCTTTGCTTCTGCATCTAGTGCCCATATCAAGCTGGAGCAGGGTGCTGGCTGGGTGTGAAATTGGATGGGCCCTTCCCTACCTATCTCAAAATATTGCTATACATCGATCTGCTCCAAATGAAAGGGGGCCTCTCCTCTGTCCTGCCCCCCATGGTCGCATACTGAAGTGCATTTGGGCTGCTGCCTAGGTAGCACAATTACAGGCGGGGAATTGCAGAGATGCTCCAACCAGCTTCACGAATGAGACCCCTGGGGCTATGTCAGTTATGATCAGCACCTCGGAGAGCACCCCCACTGTCTTGGCTGTCACGGGAGCGGGAGGGCCTCAGAAAATTTTGAGTTTATTAACTCGAGAATGTCAGGAGCTGATAGTGAGACCCCACAAGGACTGGGAGGCTTTTTTGCCCCAACTCTTTGCCTTCTCTGGCTTCCTGGAAGGCAGAGAGACAAGGAAGACCTCTGTGTACCAAATACTGAAACAGAATTGGGACTGTGAGGGGTTAAGAGATGACTCACTAAAAAGACCAAGATCTCCCTCACTGGAAGACGTGATAGCTGCCACCCACACAGTGAAAGCAACATTTCCCTATTTTCAAAGGAAGTCATGGCAGAGTCTGGATGGACAGTAGTGAAAACTCACCCTGCCAGACTTTTAACAGGGTGGAGCAAGTGGGAAGTCTCCCTTGGCTCCCACCACACTCAGAATTCCATCTGGAAGCTTCCACTGTGTCCCACAAGGCCCTGAGTGACCTGCCAACCCCACATCTGCCCACCTTAACTCCTGCTGCTCTCCACTTGCTCACTAGACTCCCACCTGCCATGCATTAGTCATTATTTGGGGGCATGAGCTTCCCTCCCTCCCTCTGCCCTGCATTGTTCCGCTGCCATATTCTCCACTCCCATGGCACCACAGGGCCACCCTCCCTCACCTCATCCTGAGCCTTTCCATATCACAAGAAGCGCCTTGATCCCTGGCACTCGTCAGCCTTGTTCACTTTATTTCCCTTCACAGCAGAAACTGCCTCGCAACTTGGTGTCATATGTCTTTGTTCTGTGCCCACTCTCTCCCCACAATGCCAGCCCCTCAAGGGCTTCTAACAGAACCAGGCACACAGCAGTCACCCAATAAATGCACACTGATTTATAGCAGTAGAGACAGTGCCAGTGACCACCCCCCCACTCCAATCTGCCTCGGATAGCCAGACATCTGCCTTCTCTGGCTCAGTCTTTCTTTTTATCATGCAGAGGGAAGCCTGGAGCCCCAGATCAAAGAACTGATTAACCGGATTAATGAGCTTCAGCAAGGTAAACTCTGGGACCGAGTCTGGCCAGCTGGCCAGGAAGGGCCCACAGTTTGAACACCGTCACTTCCACATTTCTAAGACCCAGCAATGCCCCCTCTTCCCCTCCCCCACCACTTGCCAGGTTGTTCAAAGATACATGTGCAGAATCTGTGAGAGAAGAGCAAGCTAGAGGCTGCACTCATGCTGTCTTCTCTTCTTTGGTCCAGCAAAGAAGAAATCTACTGATGAACTGGGAGAAGCGCGAGCCCTCTGGGAGGCCCTGCACAAGGAACTGGACTCCTGTAAGGAGGACCAAAAGAGGGGGCCCACCGATCCCCCGACCACTGCAGGCAATCCTGTGCATGCCTCAGGGTCTCTGCACAGGCTGTCCCCTCCACCTGCAGGGCTCGCCTCCTCTGCCATCCAGCTTGCCTCTTGCTATCTCATCTTTCAGCTCTCAGCTCCAGCGCCACCCTCACAGGTCTACCTCATGGTGCTGCAGGAAAACAGAAGGCCACCTTCTCTCTGCCCCTCTCCCTTCTGCTTGATTTATTTCTTCATAGCCTTTATTTCCAGTTTACATGACATACACATTTTCATTTCTGGTCATATCTACTCTCAGCATAAACCTGTTCATTCTTCAGGCTCTTTGCTCCTGACAGGGAAGCAAGCACATTCCTGGAGGGGGAGAAGCTGGTGGGGATGGGCCCCACGGGAGATGGGTGTAAGGGTGCTAAGAAGACAACTCCCCTGGGGCTGTACCTGGCCTTCTGCATGACCTTGCATGAAGTCGTTGTGGGGCACAGAAGGTGTCCCCTGGAGGCTGAGTGTTGCTGTGTTTTCCAGTGAGTGGAGAGAAGGCGCACCTAGAGGAGGTCTTGAGCAAAAAGCAAGGTATTGACCAGCTGCTCCTCTTTTTGTTCCATCCTGCACCCCACAAAAGCCCCCCGCCCCCAGACAGCCAAGGAATCTCACTGAATCCTAAGTCAGGTGCTCCCCCTGCTTCGTTTACTCCGAGGTCTCTCAGTGCCCCCCAGTACTTGACGTGAGCGGGGAGCCCTTACTGCCATCCAACCCCGATTCCCCAAGAGTCCTCCCAGGCCCCACTTAGTTCCTCTCCCCACAGAGGCACTGAGGATCCTCCAGCTGCACGGCCAAAAGAAGAAAAATGAGGCTCAGAGGTAAGAGACCTGTCCAGCTCTTTCCCACCCTTATTCCTCAACTCCAAGGAGGAGGGAGCCAGAAGTAGGAAAATTAAACCTTGGACACACACATCTCATCTCCCCTTTCTTGAAAACAAAGCAGCTAGACAGTAGGTTTCCCTGCCTATCCCAGGTATCGGGTGGTGATGTTCCGACGGACTCATTCATTTAATCATCCATTGCTAGTTTCTTTACCAAATAAATTTCAACCACTGGTGTTATTCTAAGTCTTGTCTTATTGGTTATCCAGCTTTTCTGCAATCCATTCATTTGTGTATCTGGCTGCGCATGTAGCTCCCCCATGCCCAGCAGCTCACCTCTCCACCCATACATGTATCCAGTCACCCAGCCTGGCCGCCACGCAGCGAGGCAGCCATGATCCCTCCAGCCTGCCATCGGTTAGCCTTGCACCCATGCAACCTTCCATCCCTCCTCTTTCCACCCTTCCAGTCTCAGCCAGTCATTTCTTCACCCGGCCACCCAGCCAGACATGTATCCACGCTTCCAACCACCCTTTATTTCTCCATCCAACCGCCATCCCTTCCCTCGTCATTTCTGTAACCAGCCATCATCTCTTCAGCCAACCGCTCATCTATCCGGTTAACTCTCCAGCCAACTCTCCATTCATCTCTCCATCCTTTGAACTTTGGCCTGATACATTCTCGTGACCAGAGGCTTCATACATTGGTACACCATGATTTTAACTGTGTGGGGACACCGGATGACGGACAGTCTTAAGTGGGTGTCTGCTTAACGACACCACAAACTCTTCTTTTAGCTATGTAATCCTTATAATGACAACCACAGAAATGAAGGGCTCATGTCACACGCCCATCCTACCACCATTGTTCAAATGAGGAAACTGAGGCCCAGGGAGGTTCAGTAACTTGTCTAGGGTCCCAATGGAATAGTAGATCCAGGCTGCAAGTCAGGGCCCAGAATCCATGGAATTAAACCACTGCCCCCTCACAAAGCTGTCTTAGGACGACATGGCTTGATGGGGGACAGGCTGATGGTCTTAACAGAGGCCGATGCAGTCTCAAATGCAATCAACAGAAGGAAGGAAAACGCTGAAGGTTATGAACAGACTCCCAGGCCCCGGCGCCCGCTGAAGGGACTGCGAGGCCAACTGGAGAATGACAGAGGGTTGTCTTTCCCTCCCCAGGGAGAACACAATGCAGGAGGAAACATCTGCCCATAACCCTGAGGTCCCAGGCAGTCACAGACAGAGGAAGCTGGGGTAACCCCGGGGTAGCCCCAGGTCTAGGGTCTGGTGTGGCACTGGGTGGAGAGTGGGAGCGGGGCATCAGGGAGAGTCTGTTGGAAGAGCAGCTACTGGCACCAAACCCTTCAAAGAAGCAGAGGGAGCCCGGGGCAAAGATCTGAAGACCTGTGTGTAAGGAACCCCCAGACAGGGCCAGGCTGGGGCGCCTTCCTAGCACGGGGTCCCTCATTGCTGGGTGTTGGCCCGTAGGTTGAACGTGGAAGAAGAACTGGAGCATTTGATAGGCCAGCACAAGGACCTGTGGGAATTCCACGTGAGCCATCGCCGGTGTCTCCAGCCCAATCACTCCTCCCCTGGCTTCAGGGTCCCCGCTGACTGGTCCAGGATCAAAGCACCGTGCAGCCCCAGCCGCGGGCTAGCACTTGGCACCTCTGTTCCTCTCACCCGCCAACGCAGTCCGTTAGGGTCCACCTTAAATCTGGCCACCTTTTGCTTCCCCCCACGGCCACACCTGGCATCCCTTGCCCAGACCATCTCAGGAGCTTTCGCTGGTCCTCCTCCGCTCCTGCTCACCCGGAGGGTGCTCGCCGGGTCAGGGCATTCCTTCCCGTAGCTAATGCCCCCTGGATGCACCTGGCAGCATTCCAGGCAGGAGGGAACCAAAGCGTCCCAGACATTTCTGTGCCCAGGATGGTACCCAGGATATTTGGAGGTGGGGGGAGGCTTATCCAGATTCTAAACAAAATAAGCAGATGCCAGGCTGGTGGGTAGGCCTCTCTGAGCTGGGGACACCTGAGCACAGCCGGGAAGGAAGCCAGGGAGGAAGCCATGCAGGTATCTGGCAGACATACAGCTGTTCCCGGCAGGTGGAGGGAGCAATGCAGAGGCCTTGAGATGGAGGGAGCATTTGAGGAAGAGCAAATAGGGGTGTGGGTTGGGGGAGCATGAGGGGAGCGGGAACAGGTGAGGTTTGAGAGGTCCAAGGGGACTTGGGGCGATATTGGGGTGGGGAATGTGTTTCCACCACCCCCCAGCCCCTCAGACAGTGCACATGGTGGTGACTAGTCTGACCGAGTGAACCCATCAGGTGAGGGCTTTGCAAGAGGCGCGGCGAGGCCAGGGGGACGGACAGCCCGACAGGCGTCCTCTCTGTCCGCGCAGATCCTGAAGCACCGACTGGCCTGGGAGATCCACACTCTGCAGGGCAGCCGGGAGCAACTGCTCACCGAAGGTGAGACCTGGGCGCGGCGGGGCGGGGGGCGGGGCGTGCAAGGGGAAGGGAGCCCCGACGCCCCGACACCCCGACACCCCTGCAGAGAACGAGGCGCGGGCCAAGCTGCGGGAGGTGGAGCGGCGCCTGCGAGCCTTCCGCGAGGCCCCGGCTGCGCCGCGCGAGGTCCCGGCAGCGCCCCGCGAGGGCCCGAGCGTGCCGTCCTGGAAGGATGGGTGAGGGGTCGCGCCGCGCCCCCCAACCCCTGCACCGGCCCAAGACGCCCCTCCCGGAGGGACCGGCCCTGGGGGCGGGTCCGCGGGCCCCCGGCTTCTGCGTCTCCAGGGGTGTCCGCGGCTTCCCCTGCGTCCCGCCCCCCATCCCGCCCCACCTTTCAGTCTCCTCGCTCTCCCGCGCCCCTTCTCCGCAGGATGAAGGCGGAGCTGGATAAATTCGAGGGGCAGGTCCTGGGCGCCGCCGGGGGCAGGGTTGGCGAGCGCCAGGTAGGGAGCGGAGAGGGGGTGGAGGGGGGCGGACTGGGGTGTCCCCGGAGACCCTCCGAGGGAGAGGGAGCGGGGCGCCCCGGGAAGGGTGCATGTGACGGGGCAAAGGGCGCTCGAGACCCCCGAACCCCCAGCTCCCGCAGGCCAATCCCGATCTCCCCGGCGCCGGAGCGAAGGAGCAGGAGGAGCCGCCGGCGAAGCTGCCCCCAACTCTCCCCGAGGCCTAGAGGCCCCCAGTCCCGCCCCGCCCCGCCCCGCCCGCCTGTCCGGGCCGCCGAGAAATAAAGGCGATTATATCCACGGCCGCCTGCCTCGGGCTGAGTCTGTGCGCCGGGAGTCTCTGGGCGTGGGGGGTCATCCCAGCTCTGCGACCTGGGGGCGCCTAGGGGTCAGGGCTATGCGCTCTGGTGCAGGGGCTCCCGCAGAAGCTCTGGGAATAGGTGGGTATCGCGCATCTCCATGCCCTCGCCTCGGTTCCCCAACCATCTGTTGCACCAACAAGGGCTAAAAGCCCATGCTGATGCTGTTTGCAGAAACAACGCCCGTGCGAGAGCCTCTGGGTCTCCCTGGTTCAGAGTAAAATCCCAGAGTCCCAGCATCCCCAGCCCTCCAACCTGCCGGCCTCTCTGGGGTCCCCTCATCCTTTGGTTCTGGCTGCACAGCGTTTCTCCACCCTTCTCCAAGCGCCTGGTTCTCTCAGAGCCTTTGCCCTGCCCTGTGCACCTCTGAGGTGGCCCTTCCCTGGGTCCTGGGGACTCAGCTCCCTGAAACACATCAGCTGCTCAGGAGGCAGGCCCGGGGACCCAGTTCCAAAGGTCACCATCACCAGGTGTTGCTACTTATGAAGCAGATTAAACAAGGACTTGCTGAATATCTGCTGTGTACCAGGCAATGTTGTGGGCCCAGGGTTTCCCGTGGCGTGGTCAGGAGAGGGTCTCCCTGAGAAAATGCTGTCTGAGCGGGGAGTGGCCTGTCCAGTCCTGGAGTGAGCCACATGGGTGGAGCAGAGGGGATGCTCCTGCAAAGGCTGTGAGATGGGACCAGCTCTCTTGAGTTTGTGGAGCCTCTGGGGGTTGGGGACAGGCTTCTGGGGCAGAGCGAGGTGAAGACAGAGGGGGAGATGATAGGGGAGAATAGTTGGGGATCCAGCCAAGTTGGGCCTTGTCTATCCAGTCTGTGTAGTGTTCTGGGGACAGGACCTAGCATTAAGCAGGCATTTCAGTAAGTGGTAGCAGTGACTTACATTGATGATGATTCCTTTTCCCAGTCTGTAGTGAGGGAATCTAAGGTGTGAGACTCAGGACAGAGGCTTATAATCTGTTAACTGTTTAGTACATGGTTCATATTTATTATTATTATTATTATTATTATTATTATTATTACTATTATTATTATTACTATTATTATTCTGATTATTATTCCCTCCTACAGATGAGAAACACCAAGGTGTGTATTTCCCTTAGGAAAGATTTTTATGCAATAAGTGCTCAATATATGCTACCTATTCTCATTACTGTTCATGTTATTCCCAGTCCAGGGCTGCGAAAAGTCAAGGCCGTGCATGTGTGCAATAAGCCCAGAAGAGCTGGGTCTCACCACTGTTACTGTTGGTATCCCAAAGCTCACACCACATGCAATTGACTGCAGGCCTGGCTCTAGAACCCTGTCCTGCCGACTCTGCCTCTTGCCTTAGGCCAGCTTCCAGGGATCTTTAAGGAAACTTTAGTCACTTCTTCATCATCCTTTGTCACACAAATGGGGACCACCTGGGTATTTCATGACTTAACACTTTCCCCCTAGATTTCAATCCTCGCCCTCCCTGATGACTGGCTAAGTGACCTCAGGGTTTTGCTTCATGTCACTAAACTCAATCACCAAATTTGCAAAGGGATGATACCAACTGCTGCAGAGAATTTATGATAAACCTGGCCAGCTGCTCACTCCTCCCAGAAACCTCCCAAGAACCTCTAGACATACCAGGCAAGCTGCCCCTCCTGTGGATGCAGGGAGCACACGGAGATGGTTGGTGGAGGGACTGTCTCTCCCAGACTCTCACCTGACCTGCTCTGTTTCCCTGGGTTCTCATAAAAGTCCTGAAACCTACACTGGAAATAAATGCCCCTTTCAACGATCACCTTTGTATTTTCGTACCTGTGTCAAATGACAGTGAAATTTCTCGGATCTGAAGGTTACTGATGACTAACTGTTGTTTCCTGTGCTCACTGATCTTATTCATAACCATCTAAAATAAATATTGGGGACAGAGGGCCTGATGGCCTAGGGTAAAGGACTGTGGGTGCTTTAGTGGAGGGTGTGGTGTGATGACATACATCTGAGATGTGACCCTGTCCCCCTAAATCCTACACAGTGTTGTAAACCAGTGTCACCTCAATAAAAAAAATCAATTTCCAGAGTCCCCCAAAAGCTTGTATGTTGGGTGGTTGCTCCTTTATTCACACACATTTCCTATTCTCATCTTTTTTTTTTTTTTAATTAAGGCCAGTGTAATGGGGTTGTGGGTTTAAAGGAACAAAAGTACACGAGGGTGATATTTGGGTGTGTAAAGGCAGTGTTGTTGCATCAGGCAACACCACACTTTCAAAGAAACGGGAGTTGAGGAACAAGCTGTTACGGCAGGATGCTGCCGAGAAAGCAAAACCTTTCCTTTTTATTGATTGAATGATTTTACAGAGTCAATGACTCGAGGCAGGAAAACAAAGAGAAAAAAGCTAGAAGGAAGCGGATGGATGCTTGGGTTATCTGGGCTTTGGGGGGAGATGAGTCTGCAGATCCAGATTAGTTTTATGGCCCTGTTCAAAGATCGAAATCAAGCTTCCGACCCCGACTCCTGGCTCTGTTCTTATTAACAAGGCATTCTGCTGATCAGTCTCTGGGCCGCAAAGTTACCTATCAGTCTATGGGTCATACCTAGCGACATATACTCATTGCCCCAGGGAATTAAGCATCGTGCTCTTGTTTAACTTGAGAGGAACCTTCGCAGGGCTGGCAGTTTGCATTCTTTAAGTTTAGGTAATTGATTGACTGGGCCAGATGGGCTTTGTACTGGAAAGGCCGAACTGCGTGTCTGGAATGGCGGCTTCCTCAGCCCTTTAAGCCTAGTGGACCCACACAGTGTGATGACTGCACTCTGAAGAGGCTGAGTGCAGATGAGCATGGTGCTGCCCACACCCCATCACTGGTGACCACTGAGCCCTTGCAGTGCTGCTAGCCCACATTGAGAGGTACCCACACTGCATTTCAGGAGAGGCTAAGGGGTTAAGACACAGACTATGAAGCTATCCACAGCCACTGCAGCACGAGTTCAATCCCTGGCCAGGTTGCTGGCCCACAAGGCACAGCAGACCTCTCCTGTCTCACCCGCTGCTCCCCTCAGCAGTGTATTCAGTAGATCTGCCTGTTCTGTTCCCCCCTCTGTCTCTGGTGAATCCTCTCACATCCCACACCTCTATCCTGTGCCCAGTTCTTGTATGCATAAATAAATAAATCTTAAAAAAATATATGATCAAAAAAAAAAAAGTGGTGGTGAGTATATGGATGGAATGTGAGGTGATGAAGTGAAGTGAAATAACTCAGGAGGTGAAAGTGCCCGTGGTGTCATCTGTGGAGTATAAATAACCAAAACAAAGGAACAAACATGTCACAGCACACAGAGCTCTTAGACTTCGTGGTTGTGGGAGGAATGGCCGGAGGGCAGGGTGGAAGGGTAGCTGATGACGGAAATGGCTTTGAAATTTCGGTGGTGGGTAAGGTGGCTGTAATCCTGAAAATTAGATCATCTTGTGAATCAATGGAAATCCATGTCATCTTATTTAGAAGAAGAAAAAACAAAAGCTAAACTCACCTGAGAGGTGACAGCAAAGGCCCATAAGCCTCTCAGGGAACCTCCAAGTGATCATCGAACTACATAGCCCTTGGAAGTTGGAGGTTATAAGTACCAAGAACCCATGCAGATGTGAGCCCAGAAAAGAAAATAAGTTGGTTATAAAGCTGAAAGTCTGTGCTTTCCAAATGTGTGTGAGTAAACTGAGACTCCCTATGTCTACAGAGATGAGGCATGTTTCTTGATTTTAACCTAGAAGGGGACTCGAACCCTGCACCTGCACCCTCATAGAAGAATACCCCCGTTCTTATATGCATAAATAAATAAATCTTTAAAAAAAAAGTAAGGGAGAAGGAATGATGAGCTACTTTTCTTCCAGTCTTTACATGTTTGTTTTTTTCTTTTTTAAAGATTTATTTATTTATTTGTTTATTTATTTATTTATGCATATAAGAACAGGTGTAGGTCAGAGGTGCGGGGGAGTGAGAGGATTCACCAGAGACAGAGTGGGGAATAGAACAGGAGAATCTGCTGAAATACACTGCTGAGGGGAGCAGCAGGTAAGACAGGAGAGGTCTGCTGCACCATGTGGGCCAGCTCCCTGGCCAGGGATTGAACTTGTGCTGTAGTAGCTGTCCATAGCTTCATAGTGCTGAGACTTAACCCCTTGAGCCACCACGGAGGCCCTACATATCTGTTTTTTCAGAAGTGTTTTGTTCTGTCTGTAAATACACACAACACAGAACATAGTGTCAGGGCACAAGAGGTGTTGGGGTGTGTAGTTTAAATGGCTATTTTGTAAAGTTTGCATAAAGTTAAAAAAAAGAAATATAACACAGATTACTTGGGGATAGATAGGTATTTGTTTCAATGTATGAAGAATTTAAAAAACATCACTTTATGGTAAAGTTACTTAATTCCCAGCGCTAACACTAGATCCCAGTGCTAACACTAGCAACAGTATCCTCACATACCACTGAAGCTTCCGATTCATGCCCGTCGTAAAGCCTTCAAAGACCAGGAAGGAAACTATGAACACAGTCCAGATTGAAAAGTACATTGGCAGAGATTTGTGTAGGGGGGATGGGCCCAGAGTAATTTTCAGGGTAACTATAGGCTCTGCTGACTGCCAGCTGCCATGGCCAGCCTTGGCATTTCCAGGCCTTCAAATAAAAAAGGCATAGTTCTGGCAGCTTTCAGCCTCACAGAACCACCACCTGAGATTTGCTAAATGGGACTTCACCAGGAGATGGCAGCATCTGCCTAGAAATGCACACGCCAGCAGTGGCTATGCAAACAAGGACAGTGTTCCCTGGACAGGAAGAGGGGCTGGTAGGGAGGATCCTCTAGTAGGGAATGGTTTTCTCAGTGGCCCCACCAGCTACCAGCTACAGCCACATC